AAGTCGCGTGCCCTAACCACCTGGCCATGCCGAGCCAACTTAAAATTGTAAATTAACTTACATTTCTGTCTATAGAACAGTGTAGTGTGTTGAGTCTTCACAAATCGAGAAGTTTAGCTTGTCATCAGTAAGTTACATGTAAAAAACCTACATACCTTTCTTCTTTTTTAGTAAAAGAAAAAGATCACAGGTGTACATATGTTATTTTACAAAATTATACCACTTCATTATGCTTATAAATTGTTGGTTGCCAGTTTGTTACTTCTCCAATTGAACACCCTGACTTGGAAATTTTTCTTTTAAAACTAAAAATAATTTATTCATTGGTTTCTTCATAAAACATATTTTTTTTAAAACATAATGCCTAACGTTTTTGATATTTGTATTAAAGGAAAACAGGAAAAATTTGGTATTTTTTTAAAACAAAAACCTAAAACACATTAAAGTAAACATTTTCACAATTACATTTTTATAAACATCTTGGAACATGGCCAGTTTTCAACTGTATTATGTAGACAAAGTATGTACAGCTATTAAGTTTTATGTTATAAAATCATATTATCAGATGAAACACTGTGTCTACTTCTAGCTCATGTTTGCAGATGATCATAGCTATTAAGTTTTATGTTATAAAATCATAGTATCAGATGAAACACTGTGTCTACTTGTAGCTCATGTTCGCAGATGGATCAGTTAGAAAATGGAAGGTTTCTTTGTTGGAGATGATATTTCACTAATCTTTTGCGTAGCTCCTTCAGATTTTTGAATTAACAGTTATTCTGATCACAGAGATGTGATGTATGTACATACTTTTAGCTGTCTGTTGCCTTTAATTGGATCAGATCTTTGTGTTGAGTTGAGAAAACGTATGCTGCTGTTACTGAAATTGTATAGTACTGTTATTTAGATCAAATCTGTATACTAAGTACAGCTAACATATCTTGCTATCATTTTGGTTAAATCTCTGTGCTAAGTATGACTAATGTATGTCAATGTTATTTAAATCAAATCTCTGTGCTACATACGACTAATATACGTTGATTTTATTTAAGCCAAATCTCTGTGTTAAGTACGACTAATGTTTGTGGATGTTATTTAAACCATAGCTCTGTGCTAAGTATGACTAATGTTTGTGGATGTTATTTAAACCATAGCTCTGTGCTAAGTATGACTAATGTTTGTGGATGTTATTTAAACCGAATCTCTGGTCTAAGTTCGGCTAATGTACGTCAATGTGAGTTAAATAAATTCTCTGTGTTAAGTACAACAAAAATATGTTGCTGTTACTAAGATCACATCTTTGTGTTAAGTATAACTAAACTATATTGCTGTTATGGAGATTGAATCTCTTGCTATGTACACCTGAAGCATGTCATTCTTATTTAAATCAAATCTCTGCGTTAAACACAGCTAACATATTTTGCTGCTATATAGATCACATTCCTATGCTAAATACATCTAATATATGTTGCCATTATTTAAATCATATCTCTGTGCCAAATACATCTCAAGTATTTTGAAATTATTGAAATCATATCTCTGTGACAAGTACATCTAAACTATGTTGACATTATTTAAATCATATCTCTGTGCCAAATACATCTCAAGTATGTTGACATTATTTAAATCATATCTCTGTGACAAGTACCTCTAAAGTATGTTGCCATTATTTAAATCATATCTCTGTGCCAAATACATCTCAAGTATGTTGCCATTATTTAAATCATATCTCTGTGCCAAATACATCTCAAGTATGTTGAGATTATTTAAATCACATTTCTGTGACAAGTACATTTAAAATATGATTCTATTAGTTAAATCATATCTCTATGCCAACTACGCCTAAAGTATGTTGACATTATTTTGATCACATCTCTGTGACAAGTACATCTAAGGTATGTTGCCATTATTTTGATCACATCTCTGTGCCAAGTACATCTCAAGTATGTTGAGATTATTTAAATCACATCTCTGTACCAAATACATCTAAAGTATGTTGACATTATTTAAATCATATCTCTTTGACAAGTACATCTAAAGTATGTTGCCATTATTTTGACCATATCTCTGTGCATTGTACATCTAATGTATATTACTGTTATTTAGATCACATCTCTTTGCTGGAAGCAACTAAACTGGAACATGAGACTACCATTCTCAATCTTAAAGAGGATATTGCATTGCTAAAAGAAAAGTTTCAGAAACTGGAAAAATTAAAGTCAGAGTGTGAAACATCTGCCAAACAGAAAGAAGCAGAATTACTTAGAAATATGTCAAACTTGAAAAAGGTTTGTGTGACAAATTTAAAGTATCTGATTAAAATGTTATAGTTCTTTAGAACTGTTTTATCTAACTCCCTCATTGTTTTAGTCATTATAGTTTCCATTTATCGATTCCCAATTAAATATCTTAGACCCAAGATTTAACTCGTGACAAAACTTAAAGTTTTTGGAATTTTTTTGTTTGTTAGAAATAATATCTTGAAGCTATGCTGTTGTTTTTACACAAAGGATCTGGGAGAGTTACAAGAGTCTAAGAGCAGGCTTCAAGAACAGTTTGAACAACAAAGCATTGCTCTTAAATGCCAAAATTCAGAAAGGGACGAAGCAGTACAAGATACCTATGAAAAACAACTCCAAGAACTGAGAGAACAGCACAGGAGTCAGATTGTGACCGTAAATGATCAATGGGAACACAAAATGAAGAACAAAACAGAAGTGTGTTTATATATATATATATGTCTGTCTAAACAATTATCTGATAGAATTAGAAGCCTTACTTTTCTTTATTGACTTTTAACCTAGACACATTTTACACTCCATCTATCCACATATTTCCAGTTTGATTAAACTTATTCTTGTAATTTTAATTTGTTTTACAGAATAAATTGCAACCAATATCAACCAATACTTTTCAATGTATTTTACGTCCACTAGTCCAATTTGTTTAAAATCTCATATAGAGTCTGTCTATGCATAAATACATATACTGACTTAAACTTTAAAGTAAACATATCATAAAATAGTAACTTTTAATGTATTTAATTCTCCTGTACATTTGTGAAATGTCCGTTTATTAGCTCATACCAGCAGCATGATAATACAAACACACACTCAAGTGATTATGAGCAATTGAAACCTTTTCTTTAAATGGCAGCATTCATGTAAATTGTGCTTCTATTAGCATGCAAAAATAATTTTATTGTGTTTTTTTTTACTGTATTACATAATATTTACTAGACCTCTTATTTAATTTCACGTAACCCATTCTTCTAAATTACACTTCAAAGAAAGTTACAAAATATTTCACATCACTTTTTTTTAATATAAGAATAGATTACATTAACAAATTTTACATGTAAAATTCTAATTCTCTGTTTGATTTCAACCATTGAAAGCCGTTCAAGCACAAGCTATAACAAACATTAATAGTCTCATTTTGAAGTTATTTACTGACTATGAGAATGATCACACCAGTGATCAAAATGTTGTATCTGTTTTAAAAACAAATCTTCCTTATTGTAACTTGTAATAAAATTATATATATGTAGTTTCTTAAAAGTATCATTTTTACTTTAAGAAAGGTTTTCTGCATTGTAATGAATTATATTTTTTTCTATATTTACTTTACTAATTACATATTAATTTTCGTGTAAGGAATTTGATAATCAACTTGAAGACAAAAGACAAAAACTAGAATCACAGCAGCAGGAATATGAAACCAGTATTGCTAGTCTGGAAAAACAGTTAAAGGATAAGTCTCAACAAGAGAGTGAAAAGATCACCAGTTTACATATGGCTTTAGATGAGAAAAATAAGAATTTGAATAGTGCTCAAAAACTGGTCACATCATTGTCTCTACAGGTGACCCAGTTGGAGGAAGACCTTGCAACAACCAAAAGTGAGCTAAAAGAAATGAAAGAGAACCTTCATAAGACTCAGGTTTGTTAGATTTTCTTTATTTTGTTACTTTTAAATTTTTATGGACAATGAGCAAGAGTCAGAAGAGAGCATGGAAACAACTACGAATAACAGAAATACAGAGAAAATCAGGGTAATAAGAACTGAAGTTAAAGAATGAGGTCTGATGTTATAAGTAATAAGAACTGAAGTTAAAGAATGAGGTCTGATGTTATATGTAATAAGAACTGAAGTTAAAGAATGAGGTCTGATGTTATATGTAATAAGAACTGTTATAACATCAGACCTCATTCTTTAACTTCAGTTCTTATTACATATAACATTAAACCTCATTCTTTAACTTTAAAACTAGTCCAAATTTATAGTGATTCAGGCAGTTTTATGTTACTTGGAACAAGTGGTATGTTCCCCATATACACAACACACTATTAAAGAAAACGTTTTTTTCCTGTTCTTTATTATTTTACTCTCTGCAGACTAGGGGAGAGGACTTTTACATAGCCCAGCTTTCCTTTATGCACATATGGTTGTTGTCAACTATTTCACTCCATACATTTTATACATAAATGTATAAACACAAATTAATTATTAAAACAGACTTGAGGTATGTCTTAGACAAAGTTTAAGAAATAAAAAAAAACACTAGATACGACAGTAATAAAATCTTGGAAAAACTTTAATTTGATGCAATGTTTTGGGCTTTAACCCTTCTTCAGGTGATGTTTGTTAAAGTTGAATATACAGAGCACACTTGAATATCACTAAGAAAGGTAACAGTAGGAGAACCTGTAAAACATGGTTTGAAGTGTGATGTAACAATTGTTGTAAAGAAATGACACGAGTGAAAGAGAAACAGAAGGAAAAGGTGTAAATAAATGCAAAGCTGATACACGAGAGGTAATAGTGGGAAAAGATGGAGTATGTTGAAAATAAATTAACAAAAAACTTGTCTAGTTTAAACCAAGTGAAGAAATTGTATTCCTTAGATCATCCTGAAGCATTGTAACATGTTTCACTTTGTTGTCAAAATTGTATTTATTTTGATTACTTAAAAAATTAAATTTATTTTAGTACATAAACAGTAACAAGAATGCTTTACAGAAAAATAAAACTGTATTAGTTGCTGTTAGTACAAAAACTTCTTTGTCTGTTGACCCTGCCACCTCCACCACACACACACACATTGAGACTTAATTGAATCGTCTGAGTATTGTATTTTAAATCTCAAATTTTGTGTGTAACAATTGTACATTGTCTCTGTATGCCATCTATGTTGCTTTCTAGTTTATTAGTCCTTCCTTTTGCTTTTAAATTGAAAATTTGTTTGTGTTAAAGTAGCCTTTATTAACTTTCTAAAAATTAGATTTGCAAAAATTGAACATACATGTTGCTCACATAGTTAGGTATCATCTGTTGCTCGGATCTTTAATTATTCAGCCCTTCATCGAGCTAAAAGAACTAAATTTATGAACTTCCTAATCCTAAAACAAACTAAGCTTTAACTTGAAACTTTCAGTGAGTGTATTATGTATAGAATGTTTTTACTATTTCAAATATGTTAATATGTGTTTCTACAGTTTCATTACAATTAATATAATTTTGTCCTTATTGGGAAATATTGTTTTCATGAGTAAAAAGGAGAGTTTAATTCATTAACAATGATTAGACTACCCCTCATGAAAAATCTGTAAATCTTACTAGGAAGAGCTTATTTGTAAACAGAAGCTTTGGGATGAAGAGAAGGACACAATTCAAGAAGAATATATCCAACAACAGAAACAGCTGACCAGTTCACTGAATACAAGCTGGCAGGAAAAAATGAGGTATTGCATTAAAATTTACCAGTCCGTCAAATAAAATAGTTAAATTATTTCAGTATGTGACTAAAATATACAGTAGTTATCATATTTAGAATAATGACTTATTGATACATAGTGAGTTTTGTGTGCTTTATGAAGATTAGATACATTTTTAACCAAATTTACATACATATACTTATGTATGTAACATAAGCATTTGGAGATTTGTGTATTATAAATTCAGCACTGTGAGTTTCCCCTTTTATTATTTACTAGTGAAAGTGCCCAGCAGCAATCGGGTTATTAGGTTGAAGTATTCTAGGTGACTATGTCAGTGTGTGTATTCTAAACTCATTTTAACATAAAAGTATAACCTATATACTTTTCTTGCTCCTTTATGGGTTGTGGCCTGTTTATAAAGGTAACCTTCCCTCTGACTTGTCCCTCGATTTTAAACTTAAATAATAAAAAACAAACCTCTTCAATTAATGGAACCTCTAAATTAGAAAACAACAAATATTTTTTAAAGTTTTGTATTTTACACATTTCATTTTATACTTTCAGCACATAGCCTCTTAACATTAGGTTATCCTTTTATTGCTAAGCAACATAATATAAAAGCCATTGTTGGAACACATTGTTACCAAAATGCACTGGCTTTTCTATATGCTAGAAGTTGTTATATAAGGAACCACATCTTTTCAATGTGATTTTTCATTAGATTACCTCATTAAAAAGATGCGCTCGCACATGTATGTTTGTCTGTGATATACATCTGTAATTTGTAATATAAGGAAACACTTCTTTTCTATGTGGTTTTACACTAGCTTGCCTCTTTAAAAATATGCAAATGCACATGGATAAGTAATACTACCCTGGTGCAGACCCTCATGGTTCACTTAGTATGAGTGCAAAATTTCAGGTTTCTAAGTTCTTTCCTCTTGAAACTATGGTCGTCACACATACACAGACACAGACGTGTGTGTGTCTGTCTGTGATTTCTATTTGTAATATAAGGAACCACTTCTTTTCTATGTGTTTTTCACTAGTTGGCCTCAGTAAAAAGATGTGCAGGCATGCACATTTCTTTTCTATATCGTTTTTTTGCATAAATAGATGCACACATATATAAGTAATAATATCCAGGTGCAATCCCTCAGGGTTCACTTAGTATGGGTGCAAGTTTCGGGTTTGTAGGTTCTTTCCTCTTGGAGCTATGGCAGTCACACAGAAATGCATGCACACATATATGTGTCTGTCTGTGATTCCTATTTGTAATATAAGGAACCACTTCTTTTCTACATGATTTTTCACTAGCTTGCCCCATTAAAAAATGTGTGCACGCACATGGATAAGATAAGAATAATACCCAGGTACACACCATCAAGGTCCACTTAGTATGTATGAAAATTTTCAGATTTCTAAGTTATTTCCTTTTGGAATTATAGTGGTCACAAACACACACACACAATGTGCACTAACAGGATGCACCAGCAAAAGGAGGTGGTTTTAAAGGAAATAACCAAGGTGGAGGTCCTTAGTCAGAATGGTTGCTAACAATACTTTGAACTAAAATACATGTCTTGATTAATAGATACATTTTCTGCCTGTTTGCTTTAGCTCATATTTATCCCACATGTTTAAAATTCTTTATTTATAGGTAATATGCTAAAACAAGCCAAAAATTAGTATACCTTTCTTCACCTTATCCATGCTGGTTCTCTATTACCTTGTTATAATGGTATACATACATGTTCAGAAGCTTTCATATTAAAAAAATATATAAACCTAAAAAAAAACTAAATAGATATTTATATAGTTAAGTTAATGTTTTGTTAACTTGTTGTCTTTGTAGGTTTGGATATGGTAATATAAAATTAATGTTATATTTTCCATTCTGTGTACTTTCTCATAATACACTTGGCCTATGAAGTGCTTCAAGTTCCCATATTCCTCAAAGTCACAAATACTCTTTATTCAGTAATATATCATACATTATGTTTAATACTGTACTATATAGCTCATTTAATATTGTGGCAGACAGTTTACTTAATAATATACAATCATAATTCATGTCAAAGTTCAATGCAGGAGTTGGACAATGGCCAGCAAAGGTTAATAGTTCAGTACATCCACTGCCAGAAGATGTTCTCTAGCAATATTTAAATGCCTGGTCCATATTTCTTGATGTATAAACAATGCAATTATAACGTTTTAATGGGCAGTCTCTCTTCATCCCAATCAGCATATTAAGAACTTTGTGGCTTTAACCTTTCTTAATCTTCTGAAGGTGATTCTGTTCAACAGCTCTACCTCATGTTTGGTGTCTCAAAGCAAATGTACACAGTTACGTTCAAAAAGCACACCTGCATTTTACCACACAATAATGAAGCTCAAATAACAATTTAAGAAAAGCATCATACTTAATTGGAATCATGTTCAGAAGCCAAGTATGGTTGACCACATCCTCAACAGCATTTGTGTATATCTATTGGTTTTAGTCATATATAGTTGCTTCATAAGAAATAAAATCACACTTATCACATTTCTTTTTATCGTCCTTATATATTAGAAGTAATTTTTTGTGTAAGCTATGTTTTCTCTTTACAGAAAAGAATTAGATCAAATGAAAGAAGAAATTACATCTCAAGGGACAGCAGCTCTCGAAGAAGCCAATACCAGAAAAACAATGGAATTTGAAGCATCCAAGAGAGGATGGCAGAGCAAGATTACTGAGTTGATGGAACAGGTGAAATCAGTTTTATCAGTTGTGTTTAAACTTCTGTTATGTGGTAGTTTTCAAACACTATTCTTGTAATTCATTGTTAATTAATCTAACTTTGTAATACACTTACATAAATCCAGCTTTTTGATTTAGTACTTCTGTTTTGTTTGACTGTCTTGTTAATCTTTAAAAATACTTAAGTGTTTCAAGATGTTCTATGTCTGACTTAACTCATTGAACAGTTCTGGTGTTTTGAGATCTGTCACTTCTAGGAAGGAAAGGAATTTGGTTTTGATTTTCCTTTCTCTTGGCTAGAAAATCTTTTTAATTAGATCTAATAATGAAGAAGAAGATGGTTAATAAAACACAAAATATTTTATTCACAAGGTTCGAACGTTTCGGAAACACTAATTCCATCTTCAGCAAAATCTGAAAGTTGTAATACAAAGATGATTATTAATTAAAATTATAATATAATGTCATAATCACTAGCTTACTTAGTTATTAACAGAAGTTGTAAATGGACGAATAGAACAATGCTTATATATATATATATATATTACACAGCAGTTGAGTTTAAGTGTGAAAATGTAGAAACATTTTGGATCCAAAGAGCTTTTTATGTCATTAAGAGTCGGACAGTCTTTAGCTATGAGTAAACTTTCTTTAAGGTAGAAATCAAGTTGTAGTAATGATAGAGAAACTATTAAATGAAATACTGTGACACATGGTTTCAGAACGTGAACAACTGAATGAGTGGCTAGGCTTAAGTAGTGGACGGTTGTGTTAGATACTCCTAAATGTTCACAGACTCTAATTTTTAAGTGGCACTTTGTTTTGCCAATGTAGATGACCTTACAGTCACTACACATATATTTATACAGGAGCCATGAACATAGTAGTTTAGGCAGTTGATCTTTGTATTAAAATAAGTGTTTAATGCAGTGGCTAAGTCTGTATATTATTCTGAGCTGAATTGAAGATAGAAGTTTCTTCTTTTTTTTTTATTAGAGAAGAGAATTGTTTTCTAATTTATAGGGATTGTGAACCAATAAAAGGAAGATGAATTTTGTGTATGGTGTGCACATTGGCTAGTAGTTGCAGTTTGTTGTTTAGGAAATTTTTAGCCTATGTGTACCCACTCAGGAAGAAGGGGACTTTAGTTGTTATTATTGTACAAAACAATGAATTATACAGTATCCAAGGTGCTTCCCCCGGATGTTTTTGCCCAGGCAAACCACACTTGTTCATCATATATTTCTTATGCAATATGCTTTTACTGGATGTTTTTTGCCCAGATGGACCACACATAGCATAATCTGACATAACCCAAGGTGCCTTTCCTGGATGTTTTTGCCCGGGCAGACCACACTTGGCCTAATCCTATGTATTCAAGTTGCTTCCCCTGGACGTCTTTTCCCCAGGTGGACTTCACTTGTTGGTCTCAAATTCTTATGCAAGGTGCTTCCACTGGATGTCTTTGCCCAGATGGACTGCACTTGGCATAATGGCATAAACTTGGATGTTTTTTGCCCAAGCGGACCAGATTTGATCTATTCAAATACATTTCACAGTCCTTAAGTCCTAACCATGTATTTTTATTTCATTTTTATCTCTAGCTCATTTACTGGCATCATACTATGACTCACTATACTGTGTGTGGTACTATGTCTTGTTTCTTACGATGGCTCGTTATAACGTTGATGTGGATAGAGGGCTAGTTATGATGACCCTCATGATCAATCTCATAACAGTAATTACTGTACAACTCTACAATTAACTGGATATATATGTATGAACCAAAATTAGCTCTCCCACCCATAGCAATTTCTACCTTTTTAGACTAATTAAATTCAAATGGTTTTGATGAACCATAGTAATATTTGTGTGTGTGTATATATATATATATATTGTTGCAGATGTATAAAATCTTCCTATTTTTATTATGTTATTTATTAAATGTTTTTCTTTTGTTATTTTCTCTTTTCTTATTAATTTATTAAATTTATATCTGATTTTAGATGACTCGGCTACGAAAGATGTCTGAAGAAACTGAAGAAAAACACTTGAAAGAAGTATACGAGATCAAAACTGAAGCTCAAAGTGAATGCTCTAAGCTACAGAAGGCACTTAAGGAGTTAGAAGAAGACTATAAGGAACGTATAATCACTCTAGAGTGTTCATACTCTGATAGATTACAAACTAAGCTTCAGGAAAAGGAATCATTTGATAGGGTATGTGTGTGAGGGGGTATTTCTTTTTTTTTTTTCATGATATATTTCCTCGCCTTAGATTTGAACTTCTTGCACACCAACTGGACTAAAGAGCTATCTCCCACTTTTTTTTTGAATTATTCATACTATTACATTCTTCCCCTCTCATGAACTTTGGGGTTGTGGGATGGCCCCATGTTGGGCACCAATGTGATATTTTCACTTTTTTTTACAATATATTTTCTTGTGTCAAATTTGAACCTAAGACCTCTGACATGCCAGGTGAGTGCTTTACCAACTGAACTAAAGGGCTAGCTTCCTAGAACTTGCTAATAAGACACTTTTTAACTATTCAAACTACTACATGTGCTTCTTGAATTAAAGTGTTAAAAAAAATAATTAATTGCAACCAAGATTTTGCAAAAGATTTTCATATTTATTGTATATTTTACTGTACTTCCCATCCCAACTTGAATGGGCATATCTGAAGGTATGTGTGTGTAAATATATGACCACCTCAGTATTCTAAAAAGTCTAAAGTGTTCACTGTTTTTTTATCATGAACCATGATAGTGATTCATAATGGGGATCGCAAAGAATTGCACAAACCCCTAATATAATGTTCTGGTAAAAAGCACCTTAAACAGTAAAGATTCAATTCAAACAACACTTTAAAGCCTTTATTATTGACTGCTAAGGCTGTACACATAAAAATGCACCAAAAAAACACGTATGTTAGAGTTACAAGGAAAAGAAAATTCACTCTTCTTCCTATTAGTGTTATTCTTTTGTCAGCCTACAACAAAAATGACTTGGTATATTGCATCCAAACCTTTTGTATAATACTAAATAAGGTCCTACGAAGGTTGTAAGGGTATTGAAAAGTTGATTAGTTTTTCTATATTGTACGTAAGCTAAAAAACATGATAAATATAGTGTAAACAATGTTAACATTACCCCCAGTAGTTAACTTTCTCACATTTATCTTGTGTTACTTTAAAAAGCTTAAGTACAGGGTGAAACAGGAATTAACACCCAATAATAGATGAACATTAGATGACTGTAACGTGTAGATACTTGATGCTTTGTACACTATAAAATCGGTTGTCTTTAGGGAGCCAACCTCTATATTATGTAGGAAGTGAAGGAGTAAATAAATCTAAATACACATAATATTAAATTTTATTTCACATATTCATAGAGTAATTACCTTAAAAGACATGAAGGTTTATTTAAAGCGATGTTTTAGACATATATGTTTTGTTTGAAAAGGCTGCTTTTCTACTGGTAAAATTTTTATACGTGCTTAGGCAGTGTTGTGTTTTAGTCTAGGCATATATTTGCCCATTGCTATGCATTATGTATAGAAAATTTAGTTAAACAGAAACTATAAATATTCACTATGTTCTCAAATAATTCTCCATGACAATCTCCAGCTGTAGCTTAAACTAATGCAATCAACGCTAGAAACCGGGTTTTGACACCCGTGGTGAGTAGAGCACAGATAGTCCATTGTGTAGCTTTGTGCTTAACTTCAAACAAACAAACTAACATGTCCAAAGTTTGAATATGTTCTATTCCGTAGCAAGAAATATTTGACATTCTCTTTGATGGAAAGTGAATACACTATATTACTTTGATGTAACTTAACACATAAATTAGGATTTTGCATCATTCCTATACATGTTAGAGACACCTTAAGCAGTGGTACTGCTGGGTTTTTTTCTATTGTACAATTTGAATTAATTATGATTGCTCTATATAGAGCTGAAAATTTACCAAAAAAAGCTTTCAACCTAAAACTGAAAAAATATGCATGCATTCATCAGTTACACTGTAATTGTATCATACTTATGCTTTTTACACTCACATGTTTAATTGTTACTTTCTCTCTTAATTACAGCCTTAAGTTTGCATGAAAATAAATCTTTGGTATTTAAAAAAAAACTTTTAAAATCAGGGATTGTTTGAGGAACCTTGAAGTGTTATATTAAAAGTATACATCTACATCAGTGGTATAGGAAACAGGTGCAAAGAGGGGGGTGCTTGGCTAGGCATGCAGAATAGGAAACAGTTGCAAAGAGGGGGTGCTTGGCTAGGCATGCAGAATAGGAAAACAGTTGCAAAGAGGGGTGCTTGGCTAGGCATGCAGAATAGGAAACAGTTGCAAAGAGGGGGTGCTTGGCTAGGCATGCAGAATTTACAAGGAGAAGTTGAAAGTATAATGAGCTTCTAAAAGCAGCTCCTGCACTGCCAAAGGTAACTCAATCTATGGGGGTCTGGGGGGCATGCCTCCAGAAAATTAATATGATAATATAATTTACAGTTGCTATTTAAGTAAAATATGTAAAAGTGGGGCTGCTACAGCACCCTTAGTTCCAATGCATCTGTATACATGCATGTTCTGATAACATATACATAATAACATTAATGTCCATCAGATTTTAATTTAGTTTCTTTGTGTTTGAAGGAAGAAAAGAAACAGCTAGAGACACGCCATCAAAAAGAACTAGAAGCCCAAGGAGAAGCTCATAGGATTGAGATAGAACAAGTGAAATTAGAATCAGAACACTTTTGGAATGAAGAGAGAGAAAGACTCCAGAAGAAACATGCTATTCATATTGGTAATGAAATGTTCTATTTTTTCCCCCTGAATACTACTTTTATAAGCAGTAGTCCAGTGAAATATGTTATTTTTTGATAGGCATTGTGCCTAATTTTAGTGTTTTAATAAAGCACTTAACAGAGAATTTTAGTCTCATTTCCATTCTCCAAAGTCCCGGTGGTTAGGGAGCTCAACTCGCAATATGTGGGTCGCTGGTTCGAATCCCAATCCAACCAAACATGCTCGCCCTTTCAGCTATGAGGGTTTTATAATGTGACGCTCAATCCCATTATTCATTGGTAAAAGAGTTGGTAGTGGGTGGTAATGACTAGTTGTTTTCCCTCTAGTCTTACACTGCTAAATTAGGGAAGGCTAGCACAGATAGCCCTCGTGTAGCTTTGAGTGAAATTCAAAACAAACAAACAAACTATTCTCTAAAACTTTATGGAAGTTACCTAGGATATTTAAATACTTTTCTGTGAGATTATGGACTGTTTGTTTTGTTGCAATTGTTTTCATATGTTACTTAAATTTAGTATCATTTCTTTTTCTTCAAGTAATTCTTTTTTTTTATAATCTGAATAGCCTGGAATCAAGTTCTTAATCCTGAATAAATGTAGGCTTTTTTTTCTTCTTTTTTGGCTACCACTTCTTTTCTCATTTCTACAGTATTAATCACTAAAATATTAGATTGTCGAACTTGGAGATTTTTGTTCATCAGTTTTGCCAAAGGACATTTTTTTTTTTAAGATATAGTAAATGAGTATTATATTTTAAAGAAACTTAATCAAATACTATGAACTTTTATTGTACATTCTTAGGAGTAGCTAGCTTCCTCTACTGGATGGTTTGATTTTCATTTAAGATGTTGTGTCAGAAATCTTTGTTTTTCTTTTTTAACCCTTTGACTGCAGCTGCTTTAAATTTACATGGAATTTTTGCGAACTGTATACAGCACACTAGTATTCAACTGCCAGATGTAGATCATACCCTATATGCCAAATCAGCAGTCAGTGGGTTAATGATAAGTTTCTCTTTATTTCTGGCTGAAAAATGGTCCAGAAGCACTCACTATAAGACAGTGAGCATGTAAAATATGATAGTTGATATGAACTTAATTTTGTTATATTTGTACTCATAAAACAAAAATTAGTGTGATAATGGATCTAAAAACTTTAGCTTAATACTGAGTATCAATCACAACTAAAGCACTGGAAAACTACTCTTAATATTCTTAAGTTCACTACTCTTATCATGTGTAGTTTCTTTTACATCTTTAATAGTCAATATTAATTGACCTTTTCCTCAGGTTTGATACGTGAAGAACTACAAGTTGAAAAGAAACAAGCACTTGATAAACAGGCCCAAACTCACAGAGCTGAAGTCAGGAGAGCAAGAATGGAGTTAGATGCATGTTTAAGAGAAGTTCACCAGAAAGTAGGTTATCAATGACATTTACTTTGATGTACATGCTTATTTTTGATATATCTAATATTTTGATCTAATGAACATTAATAAAAATTCCTGTAACCCCAAGATGATACACATCTCTACAGACAATTAAGCTATCTACTCTGTCTTAGAGATTTGCATGCCACTAGCCTTTAGGCAACTCCCACCTAATCTCACAAGATTTCTTGTGAATTGCACTACTGCATAATGATTTTTTTTTGGCAAAAGCCTTCCACCAATAGGAGGGTCAAAATCACCTTGCACACTAACTCCCTCTATGCTCATGAATCTTCACTCTTTTCCTCAGCACTGAATACATCAAACATATTTTTCTTTTTTAATTCACCAAGACTGTTGATGTTTAAGGAACTTGATTTCCTTCTTTTTTTTCTACAAACTATGAGCACACTTGTTTATGTAACATGTACTATTTACGTGAGTGAATAATTTCCTCATACAGGTTATGTAATAACTATGGATTATGGTGGCAAGTTTACTGGGGATGATGTGACAAGCCATTTTGCAGTCAAGACCTTCAACTCCAGTCCCTTCTTCAGGCATTCCTTCCCCTCATTTTGAACGAAGAATAGAGAGGACTATTTTGATTGCTTCCTTCTTCTGGTTATGCATTGGGAACTTCTCTCCCTGTTAAACAAAAACCATAAAACTTTCTTTCATTATCAGAACTTAATTTCACAGGTATGCACAATTCTTTCACTTTCCCCTGTGTCATATTATTATTCTTGTTCCCTACTTCGTAATTTTTTTCTTTTCTTTTCTTTGGAGGGGGCTCTTCACCTGATCTTTTTATTATACCTCTTTATCTTTTCCCTCTAAACCTCAAGTCTTAGGCACTCCACCATGCCCAGAGACATTTGCAGGTAATTCTCATTCCATTCACTTCTCCACTGTAGCCTGTACCACTTCTCTGCTCATTCACCCCTTTGTTGCTGGGACTTGTTGGGTAGGGATACTCTCCTATCCCAAGTCTGACTTCTTTATTCCCTTCTACAAGATCTTTTCCTGGTCCCCTTTTTTCGCCCTGAAGTTTGGATGTGTTCCTGATTTCATTGAATCATGGGCTGAAGCTGCCCCGTCATCATTCCTCATTTTCGTCCTTTGTTTCCACACTATCCCAAACTCAACCCTTCTCCATTGTACCTCAATTTAATTCCCACTTACTCATTTTTTGGTTCCTAATTCCCAGATTCACTCTTCTACCCATCTTCAGACTCATCAAGTTGGGTCCTGTAGATACACGGTTTGAGCTCCTGTGGTCACACTTTTCCATTCACACAGGGGTTACACTATTTTTCACCCATGGACTTTCACTTCAATTTTCTTCCCTTCTTTCTCTCAGCCGTCATCGTGTTTCCTTTTCTCTTCCAATCCAATCTACATACAGTGTCTCGAAGAGGAGGTGTTTTGTCAAGTCTTCCAAACTTTTTCGTCACTTCCACTCAATATCTTATTCACCTGGGAGTGTTTTTCAACTCATTTCTCAGCTCTGTCTAACCTCCTCCACTCTGTCTGTGTTTGTTGATCATAGCTTCACAGGAATTGCTTATCCCTTTGGGTTGCACACATATGTACCTCCTCTGTTGGTTCTTGCACAACCAGAGGAACCTCTCATGGAAAACTTTGACTATGGCTAACCTGTCCCATCCTTTACTCGAAGATTTGTATTGATGGATGGACTGATCCAATATCACCATTGGTGTTCCATTAGTTCCACCCAAACCAGACCTGCATCTCTTCAGTGAGGCTTCCCCCTCTGGTTGAGGAGCATCTCTGAATGATAATTTCACATTCGGCACATGGGCCCAGGAAGAGTCATCTCTACATATCAATGCACTTTAACTTTCAGTAGTTTGTTGTACATGTTCCCATATCTTACTCCTCTTATTGGATAATTTTGTTAGGATCCATTTTGACAACTCCTCAGTTTTTCTATATCAACTGCCAAAGGAAAATCTGATCCAGAACCTCTTGCTTTCAAACCCTGGACCTTCCTTATAGGGCCAAATTTCTATGGGCTCATCTGTGAACTGTGAACTGTCTGTCTTGGCTGGACTATGTTCTGCCCATAGAATGATCTATTTACCCCTAAGTTTTCCATTGGGGGTGATCTCTCTTTTGGGCTTCACTCATTGATGGCTTGCCAACCATCTCATTTCCAAGCTTCCTCTCTTCTAATCACCTGTTCCTCATCACTTGACTCTGGCTGTTGATGCTTTCAGCCAGAACTGGTCTTATCCTTTTCATCATGCTTACCCACCTCTCCATCAGGCCCTGGCTTTGTGTCAGGACACTCCTTGTTGTGTCCTCTTGGTGGTACCCCTCTGGCTGGTTCAACTTTGGTTCCCTCTTCTATGCCACCTGGCAACACAACCCAAATTTCCCCTGCCAACTGTACTCTTTCTCTTCTGCTTCAACCTCACACATCACTATTTCATCACGAGATCTTGTCCCTCCATCTTCACATTTGGGATTTGTCTGGTCCGTCACCTGTAGAACCAGACTTGCCAATCAGGTAGTCTTTTTCTTTCCCATTCCTCTCATCCTTCTGCCTTATCCATCTACCTGTGTAACTGGTGTGTCTTTCGTTGTTGGTCCATCTGTCACCACTTTTCTCCTGACCATCCTACCATTGGCCATCTCTCTTCCTTTTATCTGGTTGTTTGACAGTGGATCAGCTGTTTCCACCATTTCTGGTTAATGGGTGGCCTAGTCTACAAATTTCGACTTGCTCAATATCACAAAGTATTTTGCTCTTCAGTTCTCTCCACCTTGCTCTGGTTTTTCCTTATCCATAGACCCACTTGCCCTCTTCCCATGCCCATTGGAACCTCAATGTCATCCTGTACATTCTTACACATGCCCATTTTGAACTGTTGACAACTTATACCACCTTTCTCTTTAAACATGTATCCTCTTACTTCTTATCTGTTGCTGTCATTCAGATATCTATGTTATCAACTTTTCCATACTCCTTTCTATCATTCTTATATTCTTCTTTATCCTAACCTCTTCTTCAGCTGCTTGAGAAGGAAACTGCCCTCTTTCTTCTATCTCCCTTCCTTCTATTTCAAACCTCTATAATCATTCGGACCTAGACTTTTGTGTCCTGTTCATACTTTTTGTTGCTACTTAGCTCGTACCTCTCACTTTCATGGCTCCCATATTCGACTCTATAGTGAAGGGGTGAGTATCTATCGGAAATATATATTTTCAGGTAAGGAAAATGTTAAAACCCATTAAATGTGTTTTTATAATCTCTTGTGCAAACAATTCGGATGGAAATAGAGAAAATCTTATTGGTTAAGCCTTTTTTTCTTCATGTTATGAGCTGGGGGCAGCCAATATTACAAATAAATGCTTAGTCAATATTATTCACAATTAGATTTTAAAATATGTGAACTTTGGATCTATAATGGACCATGTAATATGATATTATTTGACTTTAAATATTCTGACAATTAGTGATATTTGTAAATTAGTATTAGCAAAATTTACATAAATTTACCAATAAAATATTACCTCCAATTTTCCAAAATTATTTCATCAAAGTAAGTAAAGCTCATAATCATGTTACAAGGCTAGCTGCTTCCAGTGACTTTTACCTACCACAATGTCATACTTCTTTAGATCAAAGGTCGGTTACATTTAGAGGAAGTGAATTATGGTCTGAGATACCTAGTAATTTACAAATACTTATCCTTTTATAATTTAGAGAAGCTTTCACATCTTACTTCTTAAATATTATAAAGAAATAACATCTTAACATATATTTATTAATGTTAATTTTATGCCTCGTGTATATGTAACATTCAAGCTCATAAAGAGTTCGGTTAAAATTAATCATCTTTGTTATGGTTGGCTAGATACCCAATCGATCATTTTTTCTCATCCTATATATAAAATAATTAATGTTAATCATTACATTTATTTTGTAAGTTCCTTACAAATGCAAATAAAAATGTTGATGTTGGTAATATTATTACTTCCATTACAAATCTAACAAGTTATTGAGAAAAGTAAAATACTTACAGTAACAAGTTACTTGAATAATTCTGATCAACAACTTTTTTTAAATTTCATTATGTTTTTAGATACTTCTAAGGCTGTTTTTTTTCTAAGTTTTTGATGCTGATCTTGGAATTAGAAAAAGAATTCCAAAATACTTGTAACTAAAGATCTTTTTGATATTACTTCATTTTAATATTTCTCATGATGTTTTGATTTCCACCTTATGAATCATTTTAATCTCTGCAAAAAGGTCATCTAGAATCATCACAATCAGCTAAAAAAGAAATGCTGAGGTACCCTGAAATCGAAAACAAAAATTGGAAAAATCTTATACCATGAAAAATGGACGAAACCTAAAAGATTTATTAGTTCATGCATAGTTGAAGTCACTCATCTTCAGTGTGATACACACTGCTGTTCACGTTCACCGTGCAACAAGTGCCATTTCATCAACATCAGTTCCTCTGTACTTGAGCCCAACTGCACGTACTCATTCAAACAGTTGTTCACCTGTACACCAAAGTGCCTAATTTATTGCACTATTTGTTTATATTGTGGACAATTGTACATAGGAGAAACAGATCGGATGTTGTCTGACTGAGCACATGAACACAACCGTAATGTTCAGAATTATGATCCAAACAAACCTGTGACTAAACACTTTAATAATAATGACTATAACATTAGTCACTTCAGAATCCTTGCCCTCTTTTATTCATTGACAGTAAATGAAAAGAGACAACAAGATGAAAATTAACTCATCTGTTGGCTTGGTACCATTCTCCCAAAGGGAATAAACGAAAGATATTCATTTCTCCTATGTTGGTGTGTGTGTGCGAGCTCATATAGGCATATGTAAGCACATAAAGATGTTTATGCACAAGCTCACATGTATCTTTTCTTCACACACACATATATATATATATTCTTCACCTTTAATTAATTAATCTATTTATTTTTGTATTACTCTTATTATTATTTTATGTTTCAAACTTTAGAAACATGACATTTTAATTTTCTAGTATCATGATAAGTTGTCTTTCAAATAATAGACATTGTACTGTCTTTATTTTTGTAGGATCAGAGTGAATTAGATTTCGTAGTGTAGTCTTGTGAAAATTTATAGAGGGAAGTCTAAAGAACAGTATTAATCATATATGATAAACTTTTGTGTAAGACAATTCAAGATTATAAAAGTAATTTAATCTTAAATCATTGTACCTAAAGTTGTCTACCATATTACTTCATCTTAAATCATTGTACCTAAAATTGTCTACCATATTACTTCATCTTAAATCATTGTACCTAAAGTTGTCTACCATATTACTTCATCTTAAATCATTGTACCTAAAGTTATCTACCATATTACTTAATCTTAAATCATCGTACCTAAAGTTGTCTACCATATTACTTAATCTTAAATCATCGTACCTAAAGTTGTCTACCATATTACTTCATCTTAAATCATTGTACCTAAAGTTGTCTACCATATTACTTCATCTTAAATCATTGTACCTAAAGTTGTCTACCATATTACTTCATCTTAAATCATTGTACCTAAAGTTGTCTACCATATTACTTAATCTTAAATCATTGTACCTAAAGTTGTCTACCATATTACTTCATCTTAAATCATTGTACCTAAAGTTGTCTACCATATTACTTAATCTTAAATCATCATACCTAAAGTTGTCTACCATATTACTTAATCTTAAACCATTGTACCTAAAGTTGTTTACTATATTAAATAAAAGGTAGTTCAAAAAGTCTTTAAGAAGAAAAAAAAGCTGAAAATAGGAAGATAGCTCTCGTGTGAGAATAATCAATTAATTGAATGTAATTGATAAATTGGCCTGCAACAATTAACCAGTTATCAGATTCAACTAATTGTTTAGCTCTAATTGTAAGGCATTTACTTAACCTACAAAATTCTTACTGGAAATATTGAGGAGAAAAGAGCTAAAGGAAAACAGAAAATATAATGGAAAAACAATATGCAAGAATGTGCTGGTAGGTTTACTATCCCTGATGGCAAACCTCTGCATTGGATATTTATGGCTTTTAATGATTATTCAATCCTTGATCATTTTAAATTGAACTACTGTAACTGGACTTGTCAGTTAAGATTTGAATATTTGTATTTGGAAAGTTATTGAAAACCAGTAAATACTTAGCATTTCTTTACTTCAGTGTTGAATTATTTTGATCAAAATCCTATACTTTAGAAAATCTTCTTTATTAAAATGTATATTTATATTTTGTTAATTGGAAACTTTAAAATTGTGATACAGATTTTTTTTCTGCGTATAATATTTTTTGTTATCTGCATTGTTATATTTTTTGTCATTAGCATTTATTTTCAGTCAGTGATTTGTTAGTTTAGCATTTTATATATATTTGTGTATAGTTAGATATAGATGTATATTTAATTTGTACATAAATATAAGAAAGGTCTTTGTAAAACCAAACAAAAATCTATGAGCTTTCTCTACTGAGATTTGCTGAATCAGTCAAACAGAGAAGTGACATAAGAAGCAACAAAAATCCTTAAAATGTTACATATAATATTATTGAAGTGTCAAGCATTGTGTGCTTAGAAATATATTTGTAGATTCAGTTAATGTAAATCAAAATATATGTCAAATTACAATATCTGAATTAGGAAGAAACTTCTGCTCTGAAAGAAAGACACTTGAATAGAGAACAAGAGGAACAAAGGAGTCAAATCAGCCAGCTGAAGACAGAAATCAATTCCCTGCAAGATAGATTAGAACTTAAGAATAGAGAGCTGGAACAGAAACAGGAAGAAATTACCAGAGTTCGGAATGAAACTGGTCATCAGCTGAGGTAGGAAGTTATTTAGAATCTACTTTGTTGTGGTGTTTGTTATTAAAAGTAATCCTTTAATTATAGGGTAAGAGCTACATATACAACGCTGTATGTGACTTACAGGATGTGGTAGTTGATGATAATAGGCTCTAAATTGACCAACATAGTTTTCTTTTGTAATTTACTATAAAGTTATGTACACTGAACATAATAAACAAAATGCTTGTTGTCTTTTTTAAAACTAAAACTGGATACATATGTCAATTGGAATATTTCAGTGCTTGTATTGAATCATATAGAAAATACATGTATTAATTAAAATAATGATTTTGTAAACATGTAAATTTCCTTTAGAAACCTCACTACATGTTTTTACAATTTGAAAAATTTTGTTTTAATAACTCCCTTGCATAGACTTGCTGGAATAACATGACATGACATGATTGGTAATAAGATCTTCTTTGATCACGGTGTAGACTTTTGTTTTGTTTTTAAGAAATTTTGATCAGCTAAGTTCACAAATAAATAGTAAAAGAACTGGATTCTTAGGTTATGTAAACAGCTGATCTCAAAGGGTTTCTCTTAGTCTGTAATGAGTCATTATATTGTATGGTAATTAAGAAATGAGAACTTTTGATTCACACTAGTGCTCTGAGACAAATACTTTTCCAACTGAGCTAAACAGAACTCATGTTCTAAGCAGATTAGCCCCATCTCAATATGATAATCCAGGCCATTGTATCAAGGTTCATCTGTAGAACTCAAGTTCTAAGCAGATTAGCCCCATCATAATATGATAATCCAGGCCATTGTATCAAGGCTCATCCATAGGACTCAAGTTCTAAGCAGATTATCCCCATCTTAATATGATAATCCAGGCCATTGTATCAAGGCTCATCTGTGGAACTCAAATTCTAAGCAGATTAGCCCCATCTTAATATGATAATCCAGGCCATTGTGTCAAGGCCCATCTGTGGAACTGAAGTTCTAAGCAGATTAGCCCCATCTTAATATGATAATCCAAGCCATTTTATCAAGGCTCATCTGTGAGTCTATAACAAAAACCAGCAATATACACATAAAATAATCCATTGAGCCAAGTATGTAAATAGATAGTTTTATTTACAGTGTACTTAGTTCAGATGGCCTTTAAAGTGGAATGACCCCTAGTTAGTCCTCAGTATAATAAGTCCATATGTTGAGGAATCTGCAATGACCTGGACTTTGACACCAATGCTTTATCCCTGAACTATCTAGACTCAAGCCTAAAGCAGAGAATTCCAGTCATAATCATTACATTCTGGCCTACTAAACATAGTAATAAACATACTTTTTTTCTTACATGGAGCAGTTTTTTTTAAGCATAGGATTTTACAAATAGAAATTCCAGAGATATTAATCAAAATCAGCCATCTCCAGATTTGAATATTTAGTAAAATGCTTGAAAATAAGATATTGATATTCTTTAAAAACCAGATACTTAGCATATAAATATTATTCATTCATCTTGTTCAAATTCAATAGTTTTAGCTAAATAATTATCTTGAATAAGTGATAACCATTTTTTATATATATTCTTCTTATAACACAAGTTTGTCACATTTTATAAAAAGTCTTCCTTGCTACCTCTATATAGTTTCATGTATGCTGCAAAATTTTAACCAGTCTCTACTTACCACTCTCACTTCCATCAGAAATGTTGAAAACTACTGGCAGGAAAGATTTGTACAAGAACTCGGGAAGACAGCTATGGAGTATGAGCAGCATCAAAAAACTATGTTAACAGACTTTAACAAGGCTCAGAGACTTTTGAAGGATAAGATTCGTCTCCTACAGAAAATGTATGTTGAAAAAAATTCAAAAAATATATGCAAGGCTTATTAACACATTCACTGCTGAGGACGCACATGTGCATGCTTAGCATTCATTTGCATGAGCTAACTATGCACGCGTGCATCATAAGTAAACAAATCTAAAGATTACATGTTTCAGATTTGTTATTATTGCTGTTCTTGCACTAAAATTCTTATCAATACTTGCCATAAATGATGCCAAGCATCACAGAAGTTAATGTGTTAACCTAAAATTTAAAGCAGTAGTGCTGTATTAAAATGTTCATTGTTTAACAGGAACTAAAAATTTGTTTTTATCTATATTTGAATCAAACATATTCATTTTAATCAAAGAGAATCATAATAAGCTTATTCTTTAATTTATTACGTATCACTTACATAAACTAATTTCAGATAAATCTGCCCCTTGGGCAAAAGCAAAGAAAAATACATGATTCTCCTTCTCCAAAATAAGCACTAAAAATGTCTAATTCTTCAAAAACTTGAATTAATGTAGATTACTTGTGGGAAGGTTGGCCAGTGTGCTTTTCTTAGAATTCTTAATCTTGTTTTTTGTAACTACTACCAGTTTGTCCCTTTGTATTGATACACTGTTAATTGTAGATATTATTAGTAAGCAACTTACATGTTTATTAAAATGTAGTTTCATTAAATTTTATCGACTATAATGTTTAAAATTAACTTAGATGTTTTAAAATTATTTTTACACTTTTTAATTATAAAGGTTATTTTATATTGTTAACTTAGTTTAGGGTTTTAGGATTAGCTTAAATTTTCAAATATCATTGCAATGAGATTATAGCTTAAAATGTCACTAACAGCGTGAGTACCCATGTATCGATTCCATGCATTCCAATTGTTAGAGGTTTTAGTTTTCTTATGTGTTGATTTATGGTATTAAATACTTCCAGTTAAGATTTAATTGATAAAAACATGTCATAAATTTGGAATTATCAGTTTTTACTGTTTATTTGACTACAAATTTTTTGCATTTAAAAATGGAAAAGTAACAATTGTTTACAACTCCAATTTTTCCCTTGCAAAAGTACAGAGGTTGAGTATGTTACATTAAAAGAGTTTTGGAGCTTCACCACATCATTACAGTCCATGTCATCACATCTGGTCATGCTCTGTCTGACAACTATACATCTAGACTATAGCCCTGAACCATAATTTCTATTGCAAAAGGCTGTGTCATAAGCCTGTCATAAGTCCATAATACACCACTCCTCCCTGCTGGCTATCCATATTCCATATAGGGTACAAGGATAACAGTATCCCACGACCTATTTCAACAGTCCAACTGCACAGAAATTCATAGGTACTGCATCTAGTGACTTAATTGATGAGTATGTTGTCATATGGAATAGCATGAATACCCATTTCATTCTTCAACTGCTTGAGGTCTGCCATGGTTGAAAAGATATGGCATAGAAGTGATTTATGTAGCTTTTCCAGACTGAGAACTTTCTTGATTGTGTCATGTACTGTTACTTGGGCCAAGTGCTTTTACTACTGATCTCTGTGTTTGTTGTTCCTCGCCTGTTATAAAATGCCACACTTTAGTTTGTGACTTGTTATAAGTCTTTTGTTTTCAGTGGTTCGGTATCCCAAGTTGATCCATATTCCTTTGATTTCCAGTGAAATTTAACTACAGTGGAAGTCCCATCTTAGAAATTATAAATTCTCGAGCTGAATACATCTTTAATTGGAATGTATGTATATTTTGCATCTGAAAAGGCTGTTACATACCTTTCCCCAAAACAATCAGTTTTTGGTGGCATCACACTATCTTTGAAACATCAAAGAATGTCATAATATAGTTCTGATACATGTCATTCAAACCCCAGTATAAAACAGCTGTTCTTGTCACATGACTTGTTGATTTGCTTATTCACAATCCTTTTAATATAATGCAGTTGACGCTCTGTATTACAGCAAAACATTATATTTTCTGTTACATTTGTTTTTGTTAATAATTTAATCAATAATAATAATGTATTAACATAATTTATATTTATGGGATCACAAGATAATGCATGTGGGTTATCATAATTTGAATTATAAGTATAATTTGGATGAGAATAACCTTAATGGTGTCATGAAGGAAAGGGATCTTAGTGTAATAGTCGATCAGTCTCTAAAGCCTTCCAAGCAGTGTGCTGTTGCTAGTGGTAGGGCAAATAGGATTATAGGTTGTATCTATAGAAATAATGAATACAAGTCTAAAGTGGTTATACTTTCATTGTACAGGTCACTGGTTATGCCACATTTGAAATATTGTGTTCAGTCTTGGGCTCCTTACCTTAAGAAGGACATTGAGTTATTGGAAAGGGTTCAGAGAAGGTGCCTGGGATGGAGGGGTTGTCATATGATGAGAGGCTGGAATCTATCAAATTGTTTTTTCTTGAAAAAAGAAGAGTTATGGGGGATATGATTGAGGTGTTTAAGATTGTAAATGGAATTGATAGTGTTGATGTATCATCTTTTTATTATATATATATATATATAACAATGAAAATAGTAGGACTAGGGGACATAAATATAAATTTTGACAAGGTAGGAGTCATCTTCAGCTAAGACAGTTTTATTTTTCGAACAGGGTGGTTGGCCTTTGGAATGGGTTGCCTTCAGACATTGTAGAGGCAGTAAATTTAAGTGCGATTAAGAAAAAGTTCGATAAGTATATGAATGAAAAGGTCTGGGTTTAAAATTTTTTATTTTATTTTATTTAATCATTTTAATTTAGTTTTAAGGATGAAACAGCCGAGATGGACCAGTAGTTCCTAAGTTATCCCAAAATATTATGTTATATGTTATTTCTTGTATATAGAAATATTAATTAAAAAATTACTAGAAATTAAATAATAGAAATATTCCTTTTTTATGACTTTCAAAACCTTTTATATATTTGCTTTTACACAAAAAATTGATAGCATGGATAATATTTGATTCTGTATTACTAAATATATATATATAAGTATATTACAGATTTTAATTTGTCTAAAAATCTTCACATGAAAGGCTGCAGGAAGCAGAACAAAGATATGCTGCTCGTAATTCTCGGCCTGAAGATTTAGAAGTAATTCGTCAATTACAGAAGAGCCTTACAGACAAGGAGGCCTCAATGTCCAAACTTCAGGTTATATTAGATTTAAACACCCTTCTAAGGTTTTATCTATTCTTTTTCATATGATATTGTGTTGTTTACATTATAATATACGTCAGGGCTCTTAACCTTCTCCCAACTAGTAGCATTCTTGTCATTACTTGCATATCAATTAAATAGTTGTGTTAATGTAATAAAATTAAACTTTACACATGACAGTAGTGTGTGTTTCAAATCAAGTAATGGCTAAAAAGAGATCAAACCTGTAGTCTTGTATCAAAACCAAATTTTATAACAAAAATTATTCATATCAGTATAGCAATCTATACGATTTTTTGTTATACTTGAATATGCCATGCATTTCTATCTTCTTGTAGAGTTAGATATTTATTCTAAATTTATTCTTTGTTCTGAATATGTGTAGGTTTCATGTAACACATGGTTGAGAAAACTGTTAAGTTGATCTTGTTTCAAATTACTTTTGTTCCCTTGTTGTTCTTGAAGTAGGTACTACCTGTTACTGCTTGGGGAAACATTGCTTTATTCAAAATTGTATAATAATGTCGACAGCAGTGTTCTTCAATGGTAGTTCAGGTTATATTTAGAAATTATGGTCACTTGGTAGTGCATTGTGTAAAGCACTGATATGAAGAGCTGTTATAGGCATTTTCTACTTTGACCCATGACCTTACAACTTCATCTCATAAGATGTGAAACAGTGTGAAAGGAGATTAAGAGCTGGGTGTTGAAAGCGGGTAACAGAGAGCACCCCTACCATCACTACTTTGGCTGCTATCTCTTCCTACAAGTCATCCTGACCGTGCACAGTGAATACCAGTGTAGTGTATTGTGTAATAATGTCAACTGCATTTCTCCTTCAGTGGTTGTTCAAGTTACATTTTGAGGTTATGGTCACTGAGTGATGCATGTCATTCTGGGTTTCTTGCAAACTAAGAAAGGTTGCATTTAGTCAATCTGGAACTTTGTCTTCCAGTCAGTCTAGTCTGGTACCTGAGTTTTAGTATTATTCCATAAACAACATCGTGAGTGAATCTCCAGTTATTTGGCGAACCTGTTTAATAACACTAATGTTAATTCCATTCATCTGGATATATCATACTTTCTATATGCCAGTTAAATCTCAGTGCCTTAATTAAACATTGGATTTTCATGTACTGTCAATATTAGGCCAAAGACCTTTTGAAATACAATGGAATTTTATTATCAGAAACTATTTATGCAATGTTTCTTCTTTCTTTATGTTTGCTTCATTTAACTTCAGGTAAGCATGGCTATGATTAGTGCTACAGTCCTATATTATAAAGATAACTTACAACAAGAAACTTTCATATTGGTAAGGACCAGAGTATTCTTACACCACTATAGCTGTCAGCTAAGTCTATTAGGAAAACTGCCTTTTATACATTGATGAAAACTAGAGGCCTGTGTAATAAACAAACAACAGTTGTATTGACAATAATCATGTAGATTAGCTTTCATCCTTTCTAGCTGTAACCCTCATTGATCTTTGGAAAACCTGTAGCCTTGGTTGTAAAACGTGAAGAAAAAGTACAACAAACCTAAAGAAATTACAAACAATGCAATTACATTTCAGAAAACGTTCTTGAAGACATTTCTCCCTCAGGTTCACATCTGGTATGGGTTACATAAAGTCCACAAAAATAACATCCCCTATTTCTCCACCATCTGTTCCAATACTTATAAATTGGCTCCATTTATAAATCCACTCACTTCCAACGAATTTACAATTAAAGATTCCTTTTCCTTTACACAAGAAATTTATAAAACTGTTATATCTGAAAATCCTCTTTTAACAGTGTTTAAAAACTGTAAGTTTTCATCGTTTATGTATGTTGGATGATGTAAAAAAAAGTCTGCTTTGAGTGTGAATTAATCTAAAACTATTTAAGAATTACAAAAAAAAAAGTGTTTTTGTTTTAAGGAAGAAAAAAAGAATCTTCGATTAGAACTGCTTAATAGAGAGACAAACTTCAATCGTATGTTTTCCAGTCAACCTGTTGTTGGAGTTCTTGATCCTCTTGCCTCTCTCAAGGTAATTTTAAATTTTTCAAATACCCCTGAGTTATCAATATCATCTAAGCTAGTTTTAAAACAGTGCTGTAATAAATCTTTATGTGATGTTTCATCAACTTAATCACTTCAACACATATTAAAGAGCATTATTGCCATTAGTTAGATGTTTTATGCTTCGACGAGTGTTAATTTTTAATGAGGCATCACGGGATTATTTTAGCAGCCATCTTTTTCTGGAGCTCAAGAATAGGTTGTGCTACTCTAAAGAATAATTTAAATACCTTGGTGGTTTTAAAGGTTTATATTATCATAACTTATTTAAGGATGGATATACTAATTTGTGCATATTAAAATATTTATTTCTGGTTTGACATTCACAGCTTTAAATGTCCTGATGAAAAAAAAAAAACTTTATTTGAGAGATAATGTATTACGTAATAAAATAAACTGAGTTTTCTAAAAATATTCAGTACTATCTGTACTTGCTCATATGTACGCCAGTACAAAACATATATGCTTATTCATTATTAACAATTTATTATAACATTTGTTAACATATGTATTCAATATTAGTGGTAGCAATATTAGTAACATTCTGAATGATGATAGTAGTAGCATTCATTATCACCAACTTTTCCAAATTATTGGTGGTGCTGGGCATATATTTTTTGGCTCAGTTTTAGGGTTCACTTGCATCACTGTTATTATTGGTACCCATGATAACATTAGTAGAAGTGTTAGTGCTATAGATAGTAATTATGGTGGAACTAGTAGTATTTGGTAATATTGGAATTAGTTTTAGTAGAAAATCTACTGTAGTAGTTGTATTAATAGTCACCACAGTAGTAGTAACACCAGTAGAAGTTTTAATGCTATAAACAGTAGTTTTGGTGGAACTAGTACTATTTAGTAATATTGGTAACACTGGTAGTAGTGAAGTTAATAGTATAAGTATTAGTAGTTTTGTTGAGAGCACTAGTGTTAGTAATAGGGTTTGTAGTAGTAGTAAATACACAAATATAAGCGTTAGTGGTGGGGCATATCCCAGTAAAACTGAATGAATTTTCAAGAAATATCTTATAGGTCCATTTAGTAACAGTAGATTTGATCAGGATATTGATTACAAAGTAGTATTAAATTTCGTACTAACTGAGTTCATTTGAAATGGAATAATGAGACTAGACACAAAGTCAAATGCAGTCTTTATTAAACACTAAATACCAACACAGCATGTGTATCTGCTTTATAATACAATAGACTGTCACTTTTACTGGATACTCTTAGTGACTTACTCTTCAAAATTGTGTTCTAGACTGTTTAAATGTAACACTCCTTTGTTTGCAAGAAACCTCAGATTTACCCAAAAGAACTATAGCATTTCGTATGTGATGGGTCATTTTTATTTCAAGATAGATAAAATCATAATTTCTATATATCATCTAAACTACCATTGAAGGACACTGCTGTCGACATCATTGCACAATGTGCAGTATTAACAAAAGAACAAAGGCACCTAGAAGAAAACCAACTTAATGGCTTTCTTGACACAGTGTTATGTGAAACCTGCACATGTACAGAATAAATGATAAATTCATAATAAATACTATAATATTACAAGAAGATAGAAATGCACAGTACATTCATACACCACAGTGGTATAAGTAGAAGTTTTGATAGAACTCCTAGCATTTAGTAATACAGAGGATGAGTACACTATATTAAAAATTATTTTGAAACCTCACCACATTGTTTCAGTCTATTACTGAATATCAATTTCTGATACAGTACATTACCTCCAGTCACATCAATAGCTATCTCATTCAATGCTGCCCTCTATATGCAAAAAACATTTTGTGCACACCACAAGCCTTGAAACTCCCACCCATCTGGAATTGATTAATTCCAATATGTCTCTCATGCAAGTCATCATGTGACAACCCTCCACCAATAAGAGTGCAACACACTCTCGATGCATGTGACTCCCTCTATTCAATTCTACCAAACTTTCACTTCTCATTTGGCAGTACTCGTCTTATAACATTTATTTTGTGCTCACTTCAAGTGTTTTATTTTTTCCTTATCTCTGTATTCATTTCTCTCCACAAGTTTACTTTTTATTATACAATAGTGATATTTGTAACTTGTTCAGTTATTCCGAAGTGGAATTATGTTATATTTCTACTCGGTTACAGAACTTATTACGTCATTACACAAACTTTTTATCTGTTTCTGCCAACACAGTTGTGTTTGGTTAGTCATTTTGCATTATGAATTCTACATCACCACTTCAGAGGTTATATTTTCTATTAGCACATTTACACAGGCTTCAGGTCATGGTACTCCACTGGAAGATTTTTGGCTTTACTTCATCGGGAGATTGATCAACCAATAAACTGACTTTCATTGGGCCTCACCTACAGTTTGGGGGCCCACACATTTGAAATACAGTCCACCGACTTTGGAAAGATAAGATGTTCTACTGTTATGGTTTCTGAATAATTTTATTGTTAGTATTATTATCTGTACTTATTTGGGTTCCATAACATAAGTTTCGTTAGATTGGTTAATACTCATAAACAAGTACAGGCTAGCAATTAATCTTAGTTTTATCTTTTCTCCTAAACCATTCACTTAGGCTTACCATGGTCTTCACTGTTGTAGGATAACCTGTAATTCATCTTATTGGTATATCAATCACTAGTTTAACTATATTGTTTTTTCTTCCATACATCGCGTCTGTTTCATTTTCGTTATTACTTATATTTTGTCCTTCCTATTCACTTGGTTTGTGTGTAACCCTTGAGTCGGGGTCCACACAAACTTCTCCCAATATTGTACATACTTATTGTTTTGTTAAGTTTTTATTTTATTGCCTAGTGATATCTATAGTTTTGTACTGTTTGATTAAGCTTAATAAGCATCTGTTATTTTCAGTTTACCCGTGGTTCTATTTATGGGTTAATTGATAGTTAGGCTAAATATAACATAACATCCGTTTATTTCACAAAACAATTTCTTAACATTTCCACTATATCGACTGTTTCATTTTCATCTTTCTTTATAGTTTATACTTCTTACCATTGATTTCGTTTAATTTATAATTTATACTTTTTTCTATTAAACTCGTTTGTGAGGGCCCCTGGGGCCAAGGTCCACCCTACCTGCTCCCACTATTGCTTGCCTTCTCCTATAACCTATAACCGCTGAACCCATTTATCAGTTTTCCTCCACCTTATCATGGATTGCCTTCCAGACCTCTACTGCAGAATCTGCTAGGCCTATCTCAGTTTTTTTTCGACAGTTTCACAGTATATTCCCCTTCTCATGACATTGTGTCATGAGAATATGATCTTTTTTGTCTCTGTTGAGAGGCAGTACTTGCGAGCCTCGCCTGTACAGGCTTTAATTCCTTTTGCCTTAGCTTACCATCAAGCAGTTTTCTTCTTGATTTTATGTAATTCGCATCTCTGTTAATCCTATCCATTTTATCCCCTACCTAGTTTTTTTAGCTTTATTTTGTCCTATCGACACTCCTGCAGTTAATGTTTACCTTCCAACTCTTTTCTTCAGTGTTCTACTTATATTTAAGGAATTTTCGTGGGATACCTCTTCCTTCCATATTGGGGTGTTTGTCATCTTCAGTTCATTCCCTCCACACATGACTTCTTTGCTTTTAGGATTTTCTAGGGTGGGATGCTGCTGTTTGTTTACCATCCATTGCTAATATGGTCTTGCATTCAGTTCTTTTTCTCCACCAGTCCATTTTTTTGGGGCTAACCCTGTACAATTAGCATCACTTGGGGTATCTGCGATGCTATATTCAATATGTTTTTAGTTGATCTTTTGTTTCATTCTGAGATATTATCATCTTTATTCATTTTATATGTTCTTCACTTGCCCGTTTTTTACCTGTCTTACCAACGAGTTTTTTTCATTTGTCTTGTGTACTTTATGCTGATTGAGGTTCTAGATAAATCAGTCCCACCTCAATCACTTCTTCGATTTTTCCCGGTTTAATATGTAGTTTTTGATCACATTTGGGTAGGCTGTTTCTGGATGACTGAGAATGCCCATGTTACACGTTCTTATCTTTGGTTTTTTTCACCACATGATTGGGTACCAGTTTTGTACCTTGAACTTTGGACTTGTTTTGGTTCCATATGTCTTTTGTGGGGTGGTCTGCATTTTACCCGACTTCTACATTTGGAGGATTTTGCCAACATCATTCATTGGATGTCTAGCTTCGGTTAGCTCCTTCCAAATGGGGGTAGTCTTAACATACTCTTTTACTCCTTCCACAGTTAGTTCATGTAGTTGGTTAAGTTTTCCTGTTACATACCTCATTCTAGTCTCTTTGGGGGGTGTATTTTTAAACACCCCTCCATTGGGACCATCAATTTTCCTCCACGATTGCATTCGACGGTGTTTTTTGTTACTTAAGCCTATACTTTGAGTTTTCTTCTTAATTTTCATCCTTCCCTCTTCATCTGTATGGTTGATAGTTGAATTTTGATTTGAAATTTTTCTGATTTCCGAATTCTACATGTTATTAATATGAATTAGAGGTTTAGTGTGTTGAAAACTGAAATTCCTGTGACAGTCGATCACACAAATTCAGCGACTCCTCAGGACTCGGGTTCCTTGAGATGTTATATGGTATATACTGCCTCCTTTCAGGTTTCATGCTCCTGACTTTTTATTCCCTCGAACCCTTCCATTTCCCATGATTTGTCACCTGTTGCTCTCACTGGTTGGATTCATCAACTTGTTAGGTTGGCATATTTGGACGTATCTACGGAAGGTTACCATCTCCATTAGTTCTTCATATCAATATGTCATTGGCTGCTAGCCTTCTCTGTCCTTTGAAGATCATTTAGGCTGGAATGTGGTCTACTCCAAATACCTTCATCACTCATTATCTGCATGATTTGTCTGTATCTTGCTCTGGTGGATATCATTTTCCTCCTGTGGCAATTCTAAACACATCCGTTCATCTTTGATTGGGGTAAGTCTTATCACTTCCTTTCATTTGTGTTTTCTTTTCAACGATTCTAGTTTTCACCACTGCTATAAGGATCCCACTCTGTGACAGGTGTTGTCTGGTCAGGTATGATTTTCCTCAAACGCACTCTATTAACTGTTTGCAATATAATGCTCAAAATAGAGATTAGAGTGTTTCCACAAGACCACCGGTGGCCTACCCAGTGGTATATATATATATATGTGTGTGTGTGTGTGTGTGCACTAAATATCAGTAATTTTCAATCTATGGTTGACTGTCACTCGTGGACTTCCTAAGTAAACAGCATGACCCCATAATGCTGGGTTCGTTTGTTGTACTTTTTGCTTCTGCAATTGTTTTGGGAGTTTGTCTGGTTTTTGACAGAAAGCTCACTTCCTCTTCATAATTCTGGTTCCCTGATGTATGGCACTGTTTTTACTTATGGTTGGGGTTGATGGGTATATATATATATATATAACACAGCCCATATGCCCTAGCCACAATATTGCTGTTGTGATTTTTTTTCTTTCTCAACCTCCTAATGCCAAGGACAAGTTATGGAACCTCATCTGTCCGGTGGAGTTCGGGTATGTAACTAGCTAATTCTGTTTCTATGTTGCTACAGCTTGCACCTTTCAAAACATATTATGCTTGTGCAAGCATTTTCCGTTTCTCCTTATTTTAGATTAATTTCCTACTTCCTGGTTGAAGAGTATACTTGTTCCAGAGGTAGTGTAGGACCCCAAAGGTGTGCTTCACTTTCTTCTCATTCTGGGTGGTCGCTTTTCATTTGGTTTGATATTTGTGTGTGCACCTACACTGACCCCTCCTCCCCACTGCCAGTGTTCTCCTTTTGGAGTCTGCTAATTCTTTAAAGTGAGGATTGAATGGGAATAACAGAGGGAGCTAGTTGTGCCAGTATAGGTGGTGCTGCACAATTGGTGGAGAGTAGTCACATGATATGTACATGTTCAGAAAAGGTGCAAAATGGACAGGCTATATAGACTGGTGCACTGTTCACAAAAATGTTTTTAGTAATGCTTTGGGGACAGACAAACATCAAAATAACTTTGTGTGATGGAGGTAAGCACTTATCAGATATACATTTTCAGTGTAAGAAAAATGTTAACTTTACTTGTCTTTTACATTTTACCAGGTCTTTTTATTTGATTTTGACAAACTCTTTTACTCAGCAATTCTCAATAAATACTTGTTAAATGTCCTGTTATTAAGTAAACCTATCCCATTTCTCTAGAGTTAACTCAGATTTACCTGTAGATACCACACTAGCAGTATTTGGTAATAGTGATGGTAACACTAGTGTTAGTAATAGTGCTGTACTATTAGTAATCTCACTCTCTCTTGTGCTTTGTCTATGAGCATATGTTGGTAATCATGGCTCATTGTCTCAGGCTAACTGGATATGTCATTGTCTTTTAATGCTGGGTTGTTAATCCACTTCCTCAGGCTAGTAATGTATTTTGTTCTTTACTTTCCTCTGTCTCAATCTTTCCTGCCAATATTTGATATTCTAAGCCTTCTTTGAAGATGACATGTCCTAGGAATTTTAACTGTCTTTTTCTGAGATTTCTTTACTTCTGCTCTTCATCATTCGTAACTGTTTTGTCTATACTATCCCAAGCATTCTTCTTCAAAACCATATTTCAGTGGCCTGTAACTTCTTCAGTAATTGTCCAATACTCACATCCATGTAGACCAAGCATAACATTTGAGAACTCAAGTTTTAGTAGTCATACAAATGTTCTTGTTCTTCAGTAGTGGGTTCATTTTTCAGAAAGAGTATTAGCAATTGTAGTTTTAGTGGAAGTACTAGTATTAAAAGTAACGATAGTATAGTAATAATATTGGTAGTACCATTAGTAATAGTGACAGAGAAATAAGTAGTAATTTTGGTGGAAACTAATATTTGTAGCAATAGCAGCAGTGTAGCAGTGGTAATGATGCTGTTAGTATTGATACACAAAGAAGTTTTGGTAGAAATAGTAGATATATTAGAAACAATGATGTATCAGGAGTAGTAGTAATATTAATGATGGTAATGGTGATAACTGATGAAATTCTCTGTCAAAAAAAGTACAGGACCTCAATTTTAATACGACCTATCCTTATAGTGTATGTAGTACCAAATTACCTCTTCATGCACTTTTTCAAATAGAAGTACCAAGAAATACAGTAAATAACAGAACTTAGTACTGTCTTCCAGAAAAAGGAACACTTGGGGTCTCAGTAAAAATTGGTACTCGAGTTCTGGTTAGTACAGGCAGGATTTCATCCCTGGTGGTGATATTTGTGGCTACATTAATAGTTTAATATATGAAATAACAATGTTACTACTGGGGTGTGAAAAATTAGAAGACTTATTAAACACAAGTTTTACAAAATATCAAACAGTAATAAAAGAGTGCTTAGCTTTGTGACTAAACAACCCAATCCACAAACCAAACTGAAATTCAGAAACACAACATTGTTTATATACAAAATTGTAAAACAATGATAGCAATAATCATGAGCCAGAAGAAAAAAAAAAAACCTAATCTGTAAGATTATTTACAATGACAATATTAGGCACTTCTAAAAGAAATAACACTAAGTCACAAATAAAAGATCAATTGAATATCTGCAATAATACTTTTTAACAAGTAAAATTTTTAACCTATCACCTTTCTCTCATTCTCATCAGTCAGACTTCAAATCTCAAGACTTTTATTATCTTGCCAGACCATGAGATTACATGTCACATGACTAACTACTTAACATTGGTTTTATATAGTTAATCACAAACTTAGTATTCATAGGTCACCATTATGAGAACCTCGTAATGGTGTCTTAATATAAAAATGACTTCTTTAATATTTAACGTTCAGTAGGAGGTGGGTGAGGTAGTGTTTAAAGCAAACAAAATATAGCTGTAATAGTGACACAAGTAGCAGCTTTGGTAGAAATAGTAGTTATTGATAATATATGGGTGATGTAGTAATGATAGTTGTGTTACAAGTGGAACTAATAGTATTTGTAGCTGTAGAAGTAGTAAGTTTTTTTACTGTATACCTTTTACTTTAGTTTTAGTAGGATATCTTACAGTTTATATTCAGAGCTAAACTTTTAAATCTTCAAATTGGAAAATGTTATGTAAATTTTATATCAAGATAGTAGTCTGACCAAAGTAGTTTTCTTAGACCATTGCTAAAGAATTTTATGTTTATTGTGAAGAAACTGATCACCCCATGATTTTCAGTATTTCAAATGTACTCTTGTAAAGTTTTATTTATGAAGAGCTATAACCATAATTTAAATATTTATTGTATTCTTATATAGTATTTGTTTTTCTTACCAAGATTTTCAACTTAATAGTATATTTCAAGTTAGAATTTTTTGTATTTATTTTTTTTTGTAGAAGAGAAAACCTCCAATTGACCATGTTGTTGTGAAACATGTTAGTTCACCTCTGTTATCACGTAGAATTTCAACATCTTGCTCATCAAATGTTAATGAAAACTGGAATTCTAACAGTCAGAGCCCAAATGGAGTGTCCGAAGGTTCACAGTACAGCTCAAACTGTCGAACCAATCAGAGTCTACCAACAAGACCAAAATTAAGAACTATTGGCCAACGAGCTAGTTGGGCAGGAGAAAATCTTCATAAGTCTTATGTTTGCAATAGTTCTGAACCTTTGAACCTTAGTTATGATCCTGCTGATTTAAAGACTACTAGCTGTATCAATTTAACCCAGGACAGTTATTCCTGTGATCAAGTGACTGTAGCTTTAAATGACAGACCTGTGACTTCACTGATGAACAGTCAAACTCTGCACAGATCATCGTCACCCTTATTCTCCTCCTGTTCTCACTTGGTGTGTGGAACCATTGATGAATGTGATGAAGGAACTTCGCCAGTTGAAGTTAAAGGTGAAAGTCACAATCTTCTGACACACCATCAGCAAAATAAATGCTCAGTGACTTCCAGTAGTACATTCATGGACAAAGTATCCCTCACGGAGAGTCAGTTATGACAGGTAACACATAATTGAAGCCCAACATATACTAAAGTTAAATAAATGTCAATACACTATTAATTTAAAAAATAACATATGTGGATGGATCGATATATATATAAATTAAAGTAAGTTAGACATATTACAAATGTTGGCTTTTGCAGTCACTGAATTGTCATTTACAAAGCAAAACATCTGTACCATATTGTTGTCCATGCATATAATTTAATTCTTTCAACAATGTATAAAAAGTGACTTTGACATACTATTTATTATCCAACAGTGACAGGAAAGGTATTGATTTTTGTATTATTCTGACACTCAAATGTAAATTTCATTATTATTGTATTGTTTTGGTTAAAAAAAAAGTGAGTATATTTATATCATTGACTTTTTTATTGTAAAATATATCACTCAGCACCTTTAGGGTTGTTTTCATTCTCAAGATTTAATAATTTATATTAAAAGTTTTTCATCAATATCTTCCATGGTATTTTGCACAGTTATTAACATGAATCAGCATTACATTATTTCAGTAACTGTTTACAGAATTCACCTGACAACTACAGTAGACATTTGCCTCAGTTTATTACTGTGAGGTGAATAAAGTGTAATGTTCTTTGAATTCCTTACTTATGTTGATATAAAATTCCAAACAATGGATGTCTTAAAATACCATTACTGACTACTTAGTCATGCTCACACTAATATATGTAAAATAGTATTGTCATCTAACAATGTTCACACCAGTATTGTTATAATATTGTTTGTATAATAACCTCACTATCTTTCTAACAATCCTTGTGTTAAAATACCATCACTGACTGCTTAGTCATGCTCACACTAATATATGTAAAATAGTATTGTCATCTAACAATGTTCACACCAGTATTGTTATAATAGTGTTTGTATAATAACCTCACTATCTTTCAACAGTCCTTGTGTTAAAATACCATCACTGACTACTTAGTCATGCTCACACTAATATATGTAAAATAGTATTGTCATCTAACAATGTTCACACCAGTATTGTTATAATAGTGTTTATATAATAACCTCACTATATCTCTAACAGTCCCTATGTTAATATTGTCATACTGATACTTGTAAAATAGTGTACTGTCTCTGTAACAATGTTCACACCAGTATTGTCCTAATAGTGTTTATATTATAATCTCACTATCTTTCTGACAGTCTTTAAGTTAATATTGTTACATTGTAAAACAGAGTTATTGTCTCTGTAACAATGTTCACACCAATATTGTAGTAGTGTTATCTTACAAATAAACATCATGATCACTGTAAAACTTCTTATAATAATCTTTTGACATTTGTATTAGTATTACAGTCTTATAACAATGTTCTAACACTGGTATTTGTATAATAACATCACTATCTCTGTAGCAATACCCACATTAGTATTGCTAATAGTTGTGTTTACAGAATAGCATGATTAATTATCGTAAGTAGGTAATTATAGTATATGTTTGTGTTTAGTAAAATTAACACTTGTAGCATGCAAATGTTTCTGCATAACACCTTTTCTCTGTATGTAGAGGTACGAATTGTGTAGCAAGTGTGGTAACTAAGTGCTAGTAACTGTTTTCTCTGAGAGTCACAGTGATAAGTAAAGTGTACAATACTTATTGCTTCAGAACATGTTATGTAAAAATTGTTATTGTATTTAAACCTTGTAAACACCTGGAGTTATGTAGTTCATGTATTAACACCGTTTTTTTTTAATAATTTATTTGAAAGAAGAACTTTATTATTCCAAACTTAAATGTAAATATATACATCACCCATCTTACAGTCTTATCCATCATAATAGTTTCAAACTGATCGCTAAAGCAAGCAACATTTTCGGTCAGGGAGAATAAAATCGATATGATCAAAGTTAGAAAATATCTCCAAACAGAACGTCATAACATTTTAAATCTAGGTTATCTCAATGGAACCCCTTATTTGATTGTAAGTCACTTTATACATTTTATCCACATCACATAATATGTAAGTTGTAGAAAAACTGAAACACGGTATAGAAACACACTCACCCTATTGTTTATGTGTCACTATTATGGCATATTCTAACAACAGGTTCAGATTTCTGGGTGGCATACAAGAAACGCTCGTGTATTTATTTCGTATATCTGACGCAAACTATGTAAATAAGCTACTACTACTACTGGTATTATATTGGCAAGTTGTATGTAACAAGACTTCAGTATTAAATAAACACAATATCGTAAAATGGACTCGTGAATTCTTGCCATTGACGTTGTGGAGATATGAAAAACATGGTGATTTTTTTTATATTCGTTAGCAATACGCTAATCGCCAAGTTGATGTGTTTCTTCCTTACTGACACTCACATGTCAAGTGGGGTAAGATGACTTTGGTCCAAGGTTATTTCACTTGAAACAGATGCAATGTAACAGTGTTATATGTAGGTGAAGTTTGATAGGAATTTAGTGTTTTTTTTTCTCTTGTACGCATATACAAAATTTTAACATAAACAATTGTGCTTCTAATGCAGTAGATACCCCTAGTTTTCTAGTAACGTATTAAAATAATTATTAATCAGTATCCTACTGCATATATTTATTTATAACGTTAGGCCTTATAATAGTCCTAACCTTTAACAATACGATCCGAATCCCATATTTTGTAAAGAGATCATTTACCATTGTGATAAAAAATCCACAACCATACGTAATTGATTAATACATATTTCGATGTTGTTACCAATTTGAAATTAATTGTTTGCACTCTTTTTTTTTATCTACAGTTGAGTTTAAACTGTAGAGCTTGTTGAAATAAATGGGATTTATACATGCAGTTATTTCATTTTTGAGTTTGTTTTATTCTATTAGCACTAAACTACACACCGAAACACACTGGGGTTATATTTTTGTAATGGTCATAAAGTAAATATAAAGGATTTATAGAACTTGTAGATGTAAGGGTCAAAGAGATTTTAATTTTCTTCACGCATTACATTCTTCAAAAATGTTTGTCTTAAAAAATATACTCCTGGCAGCTAAGTGGTATAAGACTTTCCAAAACTTTTCCCACAACTGATGTAAGACTACTAGGCCTATAATTACTTGATCAATTTTTATTACCTCCCTTGAAAAGAGGAGTGACATTGGCTAACTTCCAATCCTTTGGTACCTGCCCACTATTCAAGAACTGACAAAAAATAGTAGTAAGTGGTTCACATATCCAATCTTTAACCTCCTTCAAAACCCTTGGGGAATTATTATCTGGTCAAGAAGCCTTATAATTCTTCCCAGTATTTTCTTAACAAGCTCAGAATTAATGTGATCATCTTGTTCCACTTTGTTTTCATCTATCAACTGTTCAAGATGTGGAATATTGCTTAAATTTTCATAAGTAAAACCTGAAGAAAAACCAGAACTTAATAACCCAGCTATCTCATAATCATCAGATACTAGCCTTCCTCTACCATCCCTCATAGGTTCTACCCCCATCTTAACATTTTGTTCACCCTTAATGTATTTAGAGAAATCCTTACTGTTAATTCTTACATTTTCAGCCAACCTTTTTCAACATATCCTTTTTGATGTCGTAATTTCCTCTTTAGCCAAAGTTCTTGATCTTCTATAATCTTCTAAGTATCCTATCATACCCGTCAAATAATATTTCTTAAATTTGGGATGCTTTTCATTAATTTTATATCTTATACCAACCTGTGAGCCAACCTGGTTTTTTACTTGCATCCACCTTTTCTTTCTATAAAGGATATGTTTATCTGGAATATTTAAAAAATTTCCACATCTTATCAGTGTCTCCAAATAAAGCAGCTACCCAATTCACAACAGATAATTCTTGTCGCATCCCTTAAAAATTTGCTTTTTTGAAATTTGTAACCAAAATATCATTATTCCTTAATTCCATATGCAGCAAAACATCGAACCTAATAGA